TTTATATTTATATTTATTGTTATTTATTAAGGGGATTTGTTCTGTGAAGTTTGGCTTCAGTCAAAGGGCTGTACTTGGGGACCTAAAGGGCCACATTTGGCCTCGAGGTGGCAGGTTCCCCCACCAGTGGCCTACGCTTTGACTTCTTCCCTCTAAAACAGGAATGGCCAGGGGCAGCTAGGTGGTACAGTGAATAGAGCTCTGGCCCTGGAGTCACACCCAGCCTCAGACACTTAACACTTACTAGCTGTGTGACCCTGGGCAAGTCACTTGACCCCAATCGCCTCACCAAAAAAGAAAAAAATAATAGTAAATAAAACAGGAATGGCCCCCTGTGGGCCAGATCCTCTGCTCTAAAGACAGTGAGGAATATAAAGTAGGAATATGAAAAAATTTATCTCTACCCCCACCCCTAAATATAGTCAACATTGGCCAGGGTTTCATTTAATGCTGCTTCTAAGCAAGGGAAAATACTGATGGGTTAAGATCAGGCTAAGGGAAGTTTGGACTCAATCCGTGGGGACATGGAAAGAGTTCTTTCCACCTCAAATGAGGAGAGAAAAAAAAAAAAAGAACAGCAGGAAAGATTAAAACCGAACAACAAAAAACCTGCCCAGTCTAATGGATGCTAGGCCACAGAAGACAAAGACTAAAAACCAAAGGCCTTGGTGTATTAGAGCTGGGAAGGAGTTCTTCCAAACAAAGGGGAGGATGGATAAGATAACCCACCCACACAGTAGCTGGTCCCTGACTCCTGAGAGCCTCACCTTGGGGGGATGCGTCAGTGAAGACCAGGTCCTCCAAACCCTGTTCCATGACCTTGACGATGAACTCGGGCCGCCCGTTGTTCTCGATGATGGAGCAGCGATAACAGCAGCGCCGGTTGTTGGTGCGTAAGCTCCAGTAGATGCGCGTGGCCTCATAGCCAACTGGGTACAGGGCTGTGGCGCTATGGAAGTCGGCCATCTGGTGGGGCAGCAGCTGCCCAATGGCATGGAACACTAGCCCTCCCACCCGGAACATGTGCAGCCGCTCACCACGCTGGATGATGCTAGCAATCTGCTTCACCTCATCCCGCTCAATGTAGACGCGTCGAAAGACAGCAAAAGAACTCAGCTCCTGCTCACAGGGCCCCTTCAGCTTGTGCAGGGGGCACAGCATCGTTTTATCCTTGAAGAACATGCACTTGGCCCGGATGGCACAGGCAAAGTGGTAGACACTAGGACATCGCAACCGGTTACAGCTGTTAGTGGCTCCCGTACGCTGGCACAGCGAACACTTGGTCAGTAGCCCTCGGTGGAGGGCACCCTCGACATTCATCAACGCCCCACCCTGAGTTTCATAAACTTCTGTGGACCACAGGGCACAGTTCAGGTGGACCCAGAGGTCTAGATCTAGGTTGAGGAGTCGGGCTGGCCCGTCAGTAGCTCCATCACCCTCTTCATGGCAGAAGCAGCAGCGCCGAAGGTCACGGGGCACCTTGTCAGGTCGGAGGGCTGTGCCCAACTGCTCCATGAACTCTGCTACCTCCCGCTCACCCTCCCGTCGTCCACCACCCTTCTGGATTGTCAGCAGCAGCCGTAACCGTTTCCAGCGAAGCCCTTTCCACTTCTTAAGCCGGGGTGGCCGGGAATCCTCCCCCTCTTCAGGGGGCCGGGCTCTGGGCTTGGGGCGAGCTGCTTCAGGCATCGGAGGTGAGGGAACTAGTGGTGGGGGTGATGGGGCTGAGGGTTCAGCTGGGGGGCTGGCAGGGGAAGGAGCCGAGGGTGAAGGGGGCGGGGAAGGCTCCTCAGGGGGTGGAGCAGAGAGCTGACGGACATCCAGGTTGGAGACGTTGTGGATATAGCAGTGCTGGGCAGGCGGCTCTGGGACAGGGCTTTCCTACAGAGACAATCCCATACCATCAGAACAAGGAAGCCCACTCAAGCCTCCCGACTGTGCCCAGGACACTAACCTGGTATCCATCATTGTTCCTTCCCAAACCCCTGAACCTGCCCCTCTGAGGCCCTCTGCCCTGTTAGCACTGCCCCTACCCACCCCCACCCCCACCCCCACCCCCCCAGCTCTGACCCCTCCCATCCCAGGGCCCCACCTGCTTGAGGAGGCTCAGGATGTCCAGCTGGCTCTTGAGGGTATAGCCGGGCAGCACTGCATCAAACTGTTTCAGCCAGTCACTGCCACCCTCGGTGGGCTTTCCCCCTAGGCTTTTCTCTTTACCACCTGTAGGAAGAAGTGAGGAAGAACCCACTACCCTTTGAATCTAGAGTGGCATGGCACCCCTTCTCCCCTCACCTCCTGCCCGATCTCTGCCACACTCACCAGGCCCCTCCACTTCCCCCTTCTTGGCCTCGGCACCCCCTGCACGGGCAGGACTCTCTGGGAACAGCACCTCATAGGAGCTGGGGATCTTCATGCTCAACAGCTCTGCCACAGCCACCATGACACCATTCAGATTCTGACATAGAGGGGGAGGGAGGATGGAGAGAAGAGGGAGAGATGTGTCATCGGAGCACCCTGAGTGTGGTACTGCCAAGGCTCCTCCCATCTGCCCCCTGCTTCCCAACCCCCCCCACCACTTTGGTATACCTTGGCAGCAGCAGCAGAAACAGTCAGCATGACGGACACCTCACTCCCCTTGCCCTTTTCCCAGGTGTTGGCAGACAGCTTTCCTGTTGGTTCTAGTTCCAGAGCCCCAAATGGCTTGGTATCTGGGAAGACTAAATAGGACAGGGAAGACCTTGAAGGCCAGCTGATTTCAAACCCTCCCCCCTCAACAAGAACAAAAACCTAACAATAAAAACAAAGCAGCAGCTAATATTTACCTAGCGGTTTAAAAACTATTCTTTCATTTGATCCCCACAATAACTCTTAAGTATTATTATTCCAATTTTGCAGACAAAAACTAGGGCTGAGGGAGGTCAAATAGAGAAGGTAAGATTCGAACCTAGCTCTTTCCTGACACCAAAAGCTAGCCCTTTTTCTGCTCTGCCACAATGTCTGCTTTTCCTCAGGCACATACACACACCTGGGATGCTGGCCCGGGGGATGATGGGGATGACTGGGGACAGGGCCCTGTCCTCCTGCTCCTGCTGGCCTGACATCAGCTGGGGAAATCGAGGTGCCTCCTCTCCCAGGATACTCTCAGGGGAAGAAGCTGGCACGATGCTGTCAGGGGAGTCGCTCTCCTCATCACTCTCCATCCTAGAGATCAGGGACACAAGGCATGTTTGCACCACAATGGGTCACCCTTCCTCAGTCTCTTTAAGCCTGGGGATGTCACAGCCCCACAGGAAATCCCCATGGCAGGGGAGCCAAGCACCCCACCCCACCCCACTCCTCATTTCATTTCCAACCTGACATCCTCAGTCTGGTTGTGAGGAGGAGTGGGGAGCGCTGCCAGCAGGTCCAAGCTCTTCACTTCAGGAGCATCTAGGAGCAGAGGGAGAGAAGGGATATGGAATACAGGGGTCTCTCCTCTCTAGCATCTCAGGCTTCTCATTTCTTAGGTTCTGTTGCTCTGACAGTTTCTCCATACCACAGGGTCTGCCTGAGCACATGAAGCTTAACTCTGTCCCCACCTCCACATGCTTCCAAAGTCTGGGTTTTCAGAGGTGGTAAGGGAACAGAAAAAACTCATTATGCTTTTGTTACAAAGAATGACTCTCTGTATAACGGATGGGAAAGAGATGATGGAGATCTATTTTTTTCTTCAAGGGAAGATCTACTACAGTCTTGGGTGCTGGTGACCTTTATGCAGTCAGACCACCAAACTGGTCCTTTTCAAAACTAAAACCAGAGGGAGGGAGGGAGCAGGAAGGAGGCAGTTAGGGGCCTCTCCCTCTGCCTCATCTCACCATCCCCTGCTTACCCCGTGGTCCCCCATCAGGCTCTCGGGCAGGGGCCGCATCTTTAGGTTGCTCCCCCAGGTCCTCAGAAGGAGTGACCCCATTCACCAGTTTCTGCTGTACTGATGGGGGTGGGGTAGGCGGCAGCGAGGAAGGCGGCGTTGGCGGGTTACTCAGGTTATTCTAGGGGGGCAAAAAGGAATAGCAAGTCTGACGGTGAACAAGTCATCTTGATGCCCCTACCTTATGCCAGGCTAAGAATTCCCTTGAGCCCTCCCATCTCAGCATGGTGCCGCCTCTTCCAGACCTTCGTAAGAAGCTGGGAATAGTAGTCAGGGCCAGTGGGTAGTGCCCCACTCCCAAAGGCCCCCCTCAGCTGGCTCCGCCCATTGATGAGGCAGCCACTGCCGAAGGGAGCAAAAAGGCTGAAATTGTTGGTGATGCTGGGTTCTGTAAGTGGCAGCAAGGACAGCTCCTGGGTGGGGAGACAGAATAAAAACCATGAGAACATGAGTACTTAAGCCCCTATGGCTAGAAAAGGAACTCCCAAGGGACACCCCCCAACCTCCTCCCACTTGCCCTGGGGGACTGTGCAGCTGGGATTCTTGGGGGTCACCTGCTTCAGCTGTTTCAGCAGGGCCTCATTGGCTTTCACCCCATCTTCCTTCCGGAGCTTCTTCCGGGAACTTGCCACCCTGTCGCCCGCCTTCTGTACCCTCTTGGGCTTGGGGGTCAATGGTTTCTTGGCTGCAGCATCCTGTGACAGACACATCCACTGTAAGGGGTGCCTACCCACCCCCCCCCAACCCCCTGGGACATCTCATGTCATAGATATATAGTAAAAAGGTTTAAAGGTATGTATGGAGGCAGAGTAGGCAGAGATTAGACATGCCACTTAGTAGACACATGGCAGCCTCCAGGCCCAGCAGAAGAGGCCACTCTCTAGCCAAGGTACTCACCTCCTTGCCGACTGGCGTGCCCTGAAGCTTCTGCTCCAACCCAGCCAGCTTGCTGTCAATGTGCCCATTGATCTCTGCTCGGAGCCCCTCAGGTCCATGCCCTGCGCCAAGCTGTACATTCTTTGACCGAAGCAGCTTCTGCAAGAGCAGGTGCCCAGCCTCTGAGCGGCTGCCTGCCAGTAAGAGGTGGTTGCTGGTGCCTGGTGTGCTCACAGGTTCCCCATTAGCCTCCCGTTTCACCACCTGGGCACCCAGGGCACAAGGCTCCTCTCGAGGCTCCTGCTTGATCATGAGACGGGGTGGCTCGGGCATCTCCCGCCCATTCACCTGCTCCACCTCTCCAGGCCTCATGTTGTTCTGCTCAGGCTTATGGGCCTCAACCAGGTTGTCTGGGGTTTCCCAAGGTCCTGGTCCCTTGGCAAAGAAAGCATCTGGAAGTTGGGAGGCTGCCGACGAGGGGGGTGGAATGTCCCCTGAAGGTAGCTCCAAGGAGGATTCTTGGAGCTTTGGGATCTCAGTCTGGGTAGGGGTGAGCTGAGCCTCAGCAGGAAGCTGAGGGCTAGGGGGCAGCAATCGTGGGGAAGGTCTCTTTGGCTCTTGGGGGCTGGATGGCAGAGGAGGGGGTTGTGCAAGGCCAAGGTTTGGCCCTGATGCTATGGCTCCTTGTGGGGTAGAGAGCCGGGAAGGGCCCTGGGGTCGGGGCACCGCCCCTAGCTCCTGTAGAGGCCCTGATGGAGCTCCGAGGAAGCCCCCAGGTTGGGGCTGGCGGCCCAGGAGGCCTTGCAAGGAAGAAGGATGGCTCCCAGGCTCCAGGTAGGGCACTGTTTGCCTTAGCACCTGGCCTTGCTGCAATTGCCTCTGCACGAGAAGGGCCTGCAGCTGCTGTTGCTGCTGAGGGCTTAGGTGCCGAAGCTGTGGGTTCTTGGCCAAGACACCCTGAAGCTGGGCCCGCAGCTGCCCCACTGTGGGCATTCCCGCATGCCCTGGTAGGCCCTGCCCAGGGTGGGGTAGAGGGCCTGGCTTGGGAGGCTGTGGCCTTGGGCTCCCTTTTAGGGGTCGATCCAGCCCAGAGGCCCGCTCCCCTACAGAACCTAGGGGCTGGGTCAGCAGGTGGGACATGGAAGTAACTTCAGGGGGTTGCCCACCAGCCATCTGCCCATGACTTGCACCACCCGCTGGATGGAGTAAGTTGATTTGCTGTTGCTGCTGCTGCTGCTGCTGCCCTGGAAGTCTCAGAGGTGCCTGTAACTGCAGGGAGTTCATCTGAGGGGGCTGGGGCTGGGGCTGGGGCTGAGGCTGAGGCTGGGGCTGGGGCTGGGGCTGGGGCTGGGGCTGGGGCTGGGGCTGGAGCTGAGGATGAGGCTGTGGTTGGGACAGGAGGAGGTGAGAGTCCCCAGGGAGGGGGGGCTTCACCTCCACTGGCTCTGGGGGCAGGGCTTCTGTAGGAGGACCCAATGCCAACGGTCCTCCTAGGTGCACTGAGGAGGCTTCAGTGCCTTCAGGTACTAGCACTGTCTCTGCCCCAGCTTGCTCTTTGCCTGGTAGGCCCGAGGGCAACCCCTGGCTAAGCAAGAGGGCTGGGCCCAAGGCTCCATGGCTGGGAAAGTGCTGGAGGGGTTTGGCAGGCAAGCCGGGACCCAGGGCCACCTGCTGCTGCTGCTGCTGCTGCTGCTGCTGCTGCTGCTGCTGGGTAAGAGAGTTGGCTGGGGGTGGCAGCAATTGCTGCTGCTGCTGCTGCTGCTGGGGAGGCAATAAAGGTCGACCCTGGTTAAGGAGCCCCAGCGTCGGTTGCGGTTGCTGCTGCTGCTGCTGCTGCTGCTGCTGCGTCCCCATGGATTGGGTGCCCAGCTTGGGTTGCCCACTAGGAGGCATCAATCCCTGTTGGAGATGGGAGAGCCCAGTCATGGGCGGCTGCTGCTGCTGCTGCTGCTGCTGCTGCTGCTGCTGCTGCTGGGCCATGACAAGTCGGTGGGCCATGAGGCCTTGTGCTTGCTGGGCCAGTTGAGGGGACCCTAGCATTCGGGGCTGAGCAAGGAGCACTTGTCTGTGAGGGCCTTGGGGACCCAGACCTCCAGGGTGCACCTGCTGCTGCTGTTGTTGCTGCAACACTGCCACCTGGGCAGGGCCCAGCATGCCCTGGGGCCCTGGGGGCGGCTGGGGGGACAGCTGCTGGACCAAGAGGCCCTGATGGCTGCCAGGAGGCAGGAGTCCCTGGGGCTTGGGCCCCAGGCCCTGCTGCTGCTGCTGCTGCTGCTGCTGCTGCTGCAGAGCCACCTGTCCCAACAGGTGCTGCTGCTGTTGCTGCTGCAGCTTCTGAGTCAGCTGCATTCGCTGCTGTTGCAGCTGGAGTTGCCGTTCCTGTAAGAGCCGTGCGTCGGCACTCAGGCCTCGGAGAGCAAGATTCCCGGGGAAGAAGCCTGCCGAGGGGCCTGCTAGGGTCCCTGCCCCGGCTGGATGCTGCTGCTGCTGCTGCTGCTGCTGTTGGCCCAGGGCTGTACTGAGGAAAGGGCCGCTGGGCTGGCCGGTCAGTGCAACTCCTCCAGGAGGCAGGCGAAGGCTGCCCGCCTGCCCGCCCGGGGGTCCCTGTGGAGGCTGCAGCCCGTGGCCTGGGAGCAGCTGCCCAGGAAGCTTGGCCAGCAGCCTGGGGCTCTGGGAGGGGCTCAAGGCCAGCACCGCGGAATGCTGCTGCTGCTGCTGCTGCTGCTGCTGCTGCTGCTGCTGCTGTTGCTGCTGCTGCTGCTTGTTCCGATACTCTGCCATCAGGTTTGTGTGCTCTTTCTGCTGTTTCCGAACCTAGGTGTCATCACAGGGAGTAAGGGAAGATGTCAAGAGTAGGTGGAGGCCTCAGCCTCAGCCCACACGCCCCCTTCTTAACCTTTCTCTGCCAAGGGCCTCTACCTGGTCCAGCTGCTTCTGGATCTTGCTCTGCTGCTCAGTGACCAACTTCAGCTTCTCCGCATCAGCCTCTGGGAACTCTCGGCCAGCCTTCTTAGCGGTGCGCTGCTTGGCGCACAGGGCCTTGCGGGACTTTCGGTGCACCCCAATCTGCTCTTCCAGCACCTTGAGCTGCATCTGTAGCAGTTGCTGGGTGTGAAACAGCCACTCTTCGTACTGCCGCTGGTCGGCTTCGTCTGGGCCAGCAGGGAGAACAGGAGTCAAGGGGCCTGGTCGCCACAGGTCCCAGTGGGGCATCGTCCTGCCCCTTCACCCTCCCCCCAATCTCCTTCAGGTCACACCATACTCACTGATCACACCGTGGGCAAAAGTGGGTGGGTTGGGCCGAGACTGGGAGGGGTCACTGCTGCTCCGCTCCTGTCAGTGGAAAGGATGCCAGGGGTCACTGCTCCCTCCTTCCCACTAGGTTCTTCTGATCAAACCCACCTTACTAGCTCTTACATGAGGACACTCTAATAGCAGGGATGGATACGGGTGCCAGGACACATTCCCTCTGCACATCCCTTCTGTGTACAAATGCCACCTAGTCACACAACTCCACCTGCTCACTCACCTGCCCACTCCCAGCTGCCACATGATTCTGTAGGTCAGTGCTGCCAGGAGCTCCCGAGAGCCGCTGGGCCAACAGGGACACCTGTTGCCTAGAACCAGTCAGAGAAAAGATGGCAAAAGGTGAGAGAGAAGCCGGATGGGGAGGACAGAGAAAAGGGAGTCAGGAGAGGAAAGGCCAAGTTACATAGGCTTCTTCTAGTAGATACCTCACCTGTTCATGCCTGGTGCCACCCCAATGCTGCCCTGCGCCATCACCTTCTTGATGCCCTTCAGGGCCACCATCTTAGCCTTGGCAATGGGATCAATGATGTCCTCTGCAGCAAACTTGTCCAAGTCTTTGAAGAAAGTACCAGAGGATAAGGGAAGATGTTGAATTAGCTGTCCCTTCCATATCTCATGCCTGCCACCCAGTGCCTGTCTAGTCCCTCGCCTTTCCTGTCCTCAAGACAGCCTAGAAGCAATGACTTGTGCCACGTGCCATGATTCCACTCTGGACACCTTCTGGTAGACCCCACCCACACCCTAGGCCCAGTATTCTGTCTGCCTGCTCTGTAAGGCACAGAAGTCAGAGGCCAAAGGCACCGCTCCTAACACACTGCTTTTGATATGTCAACAGAAGCCTTCAGGGTCTGCCTGTTGCCTATAGAGAAAAAAATTCAGGGGGAAGCTAGGTGGTATAGTGGACAGAGCTCTGGCCTTGGAGTCAGGAGGACCTGAGTTCAAATCTAGTCTCAGACACTTGACACTTACTAGCTATGTGACCCTGGGCAAGTCACTTAACCCCATTGCCTCGCCAAAAAAAAAAAAAAAAAAAGATTTAAGATGGTATTCAGCACTCTCCATTAACTGGTCCCAAATTTACTCTTCTACTATCATTTTTCTGCTATTCCCCTGCCCAACTTTCCATTCTGGTCAAACTGATCTACTAATCACTCCCTGAATATCTGCCTGCCCAGCTCAAGCCCCAACACTAGTGAACTGCTTCCCTACTCAATGTTTCCTTCCTCCCTTCTGAACACTGAGCCACACATGGAGTATTTCATGCATGTTCCTTTGTACTGTGAGTAATCTCCTAAGGTATCCAACCTGGCTCCCCAACTGAAAGTTCTCAGAGACAGGGACAAGCACCCAGAATGTCATGATTCAGTCAGTTTAAAATGACAACAATGAGGATTACAGGTCTCGGCCCACCCCCACTCCCCATTTCCCCCACGTCCCTTCCTACAAGAAAATGTACCTGTATCAGGGAAGAAGCTGTTGGCTAGCTGTTGCTGCATCGCCAGCTGCTGCGGCTTCATGCACATCGATGGTGGCACTGCCCCCATAGGCTTCTGGGCCAGCACTGGCTGTGGATTCTGCTGAGGCACCAAGCTTGCCTGCCCTCCGCTGAGCATATGCCCCTGGTTGGGCACCATGGCCATGGGAGGGACCAGGCGCTGCTGCAGGGCATGGGATGGTTGCTGGGTGGACATCATCGCCTGGGTGGACACTAGGCCAGGCTGCCGAGCCCCAAGCCCTAGTGCAAGCTGTTGTGGGGTAACAGCCAGGCCAGGAGGTGGACCTTCTTGGGGCAGAGGCATGGACTGGGCAGTGCCTGAGGTGGCCAGCAAGAGGTGCTGCTGCTGTTGCTGCTGTGGGGGCGGCGGTGGTGGAGGTGGCGGCGGTGGCGGTGGTGGGGGCGGCGGTGGGGGTGGGGGTGGGGGTGGTGGGGGTGGGGGTGGCTGTTGTAGCTGGGCAGAGAGCTGTTGCTTCTTTTGGAGTTCTTTTTTCTCATGCTCCAGGAGGTCCTCAATGAGCAGAGGCAGTTCACTGGCCACCAAGGAACTCTCCATTTTGTCCAGCTCATCTCCAGACGGTGGAGGCCCACCAGGCAGGGTCAGGGCCCCACTCTCCAGGTCAAACTTCTCCAGCAAGGATGCTCCCCCTGGGCCACTCAGTGGGCTCGAGGTCAACAGCTGGGGTGGGGGACCTGCTGTGCTTCCAAAGGGACTCTTCTCAGCGGTATGCACATTGTTAGGGAAGGGACCCATGTTTAGCCTGCCGTCTCGTGGCCCCAGCAAGTTCTGCCCAGGCTTCAGCCCCAGCCCCAGAGTGCCAGGAGGCACCGGGTCTGCCTTGGGGGTGGCCACGGTGAACTGGCAAGGAGAGGCCTGGTGTCCACCCTCCTCTAATTTAGGCTTCACTTCAGTGGCCCCGGGGGCGAGATGGGAATCAGGTCCATCAGTGGTAGGGGGTGGGCGCTCCTCAGCACCAGACAGGCTGGGTTCTGTGCCCCTCAGGAGCGCCTCACGCTCAGCCTTCTCATTGGCGGATTCTACCAGTCGCAAGTGTTCATTAAATATGTCCTTCTTGTCACCAGTGTCCAGCTCAGGGTCTGTATAGGCCAAGAGGTCGAATTCATCCCCATTCAGCAAGTCGTCCAGATGGGGGTCATTGGTCTCCAAGTTTCCAAGGGTGCCGAGCTCATCATCACCCTTGGCCACATCTACCCCAAGCCCCAGGTGGGCCAGCTCCTCATCATCTTCCAGTGCCTTATGGGCATCAAAGTCGTCATCCAGCTCAGGCTCCTCACAGGGCAGTTTTCCAGACTCCAGGACCAGGGGTGGACGTCCTGCCTCTGTGCTAGAGGGAGATCGGCCAACCAGCTCCTGGCTAGCAGGAAGGCTAGGACCCTTGGGATGGGGGAGGGGGTGGAGGCTGTTACTCAGTTCAGGTGGTGGAGGAGCTGAGGGTTTCTGTGGGGGCAGGGTGGACACTGCCACAGGTCGAAGACTATCCGGAGCCAGGCGATGGGAGTCCTCAGCCACTGAGAAGAATCGTGGCCTCTGAGGGGGGCCCTGAAGATGGTAAGGGGCACCACCAGGCCCTGGCCCCTTCTGCACATTGTGACGAAGCTCGATGAACTGAGCAGGACCAGGACCAGGAAGTGACTCCCCTGGGCCAGGAGGGCGGTTGGAAAGCCCACTCAGAGGAGGGCCTAGGATTGTCCGGCCAAGTTCCGGCCCAGGTGGTTGAGGGAACCTTGCAGGCATGGAAAGCCGCATGGAAGCCACAGCGGCCTGCTGCTGCTGCTGCTGCCAGAGCTGCTGTTGCTGTTGAGGGGGCAGAGGTCCAGAGAAGGGCCCCCGTGGAAAGAAGGCTTGGGTGCCCCCAACCAGTTGCCTGAAATTGTACACAACAGAATCAGAAAGACAAGGTAAGGCAGGAAAGAGCCAGGAGTTAGAGCCAGAACAGAGGATTGGAGGAGGAAAGGAAGACAGGAAAAGAAAGCAGGGGAACAAGGCAAGATGGCCTGGGTATCCACAATAACCAGAAACTGACTCTATAGAGCACATTAAGGTTTACAAAGTGCTCTATACACGTCGACCTAATTTGATCATTTCCACAGCTCTGGAAGATAGGCAATACAAGCATCTTCATCCCTACTTTAAATTAGGAAGCTGTGGCTCAAGAATCACACAGCTAATATGTGCCTAAGGTAGGATTCAAACCCAGGGCTCTCCTGATTTCAAATCCAGTGCTCTTTCCAGCAGGTGGGATCAGAAGTCAGAACTCAAAACCTACCCCCTGCCTGTATTCACAGTCGCCCTTGGTGACTCACCGGCCATTCATGTCAATGGAAGAAGGAGTAGGGGGTGGTGGTGGCCGAATGAGTCTCTCCTCTGCAGGGAAGGGGCTAGGTCCCAGAACTGAGCCACTTAGTTTGTTAGGGGGCAATCCTGTAAGGCCACTTTTGTCCTGGGTGGCCGGAATGAAAACAGGTGTATAAGGAGAGTGAGAAGGCCAATGCCCTGCCATGCCACCCCTGCCTCCCAATTTTGAAGCATGGTCTCCTACCCCCCTGCCAATCCACCTACCTGTGCCCCAGGGTAGGAGGTGGGGCCTCGATTCAGCTGCTCAAAAGCAGGGTTGCTAGACTCAGCACCCCAACTGCCTGGCCCTACAGCACTGGTGGCTGCTGCTGTTTCCTTCTCCTGCCGAAGGGTATTACGCTGAATCTGCTGTCGGATCAATAGCTCTCTCAAACGCTGGCGCTGGGTAAGGATAAAGGAAGAGAGAGGGGGAAAAGTCAGTCACCTCTATCTGGCCAGGGCTGGAAAAAACCCACAAGACCAAAAAGGCGGAGACACAGACACAGAGGCAGCACAGACGCCTGCACTGGAGACTCTCACCTGCCGCTGCTTCTCCAACTCTGTTTGGCTCAGATTAGCCATGCTGGGGTCCTGGGGACCTGGCAGCTCAGGACCCACCAGGGAGGTGGCCATCCCAGACACTGAGTCTTCTCGCTTGTCAGCCGGGGAGGTGATGCTCCCCCGCTGTGGGGCACCATGGGGCAGGTAGGTGAGAGGACCATCCGGTGCAGGCTGTGGTAAAACCGATGGTGGACGCAACGGAGACAGCCCATAGCCCTCAGCTGGTGGCCCGGTGCCTGGCCCCAGGGGGCTGCCTCCTGGGTGAAAACTGCCTGCCGCTGCTGTGTAGTTTGTGCTTTGGGGCTTGCCCACAGTGGGTCCTGGCCCATAATGGCTGTTGATCCCATGGGGTGGAGGGAGACTAGGTTGAGAGGCAGGGGGCTTCAGGGGCGGCTCTCCCACTGCCTGGGGGAAAGTGAAGCGCATGGGGGAAGGATTGCCCACAAACACGTTTGCCCCTGGAGAACGGACAAAAGATGGAGGCTGCCCGCCAGAGCTCTTAGCGTGATGGTCATTTGATTGCCCAGAGGGCAGAGCCGCTGGAAAGCCCCCTACCCCTAATGGAGTATGGGCCAGGGGCCCGGCCTTGAAGGCAACTTCAGGGGGCTGGGACCGAGGTGGCTTGTGTAGTGGGGCAAAAGGGTCCCGGGACTGGGGCCGTGAGGGTGGACGAGAGTAGGGGTCAGGTGACTGGAAGCAAGGGGTGACTGGTGACTGGCAGAAGGCTTCGGTGGACAGCGGGCGGGGTGTCAGGGGTGACTGAGAGCTAGACTGAGACTGGGGGCTGGCAGGTACTCGAGTGAAAGGGTCAGACGGCAAGGAGCGAGGTGGCAGGGTACAGCAACTCTCAGGAGGTGGAGGCTGAGGCCGGGGTGTCAGTGGGGGCTGTGAATAGGACTCAGGATAGGAGCCAGAAGGAGCTGAGCGATATAGGTCTGCATGGCTAGGGGGTGAGGGGGCCACAGCATGGGCAGAGGGAGGCTCCTGAGGCCTCAGGCCTATACCCGGGCTCTGCGGCTCTACCTGAGATGCCCGAGGGGTCAGGGGGGCTTTGAAGACATCCGGTGCCTTTAGCTCCAGGCTGCCTAAGTGGGGCCCGGAGGAAGGTGAGTCTCCAAAACCAAGGCTGGGGGGGCCATAGCTGGGAGAAGCTGCCCCCAGCTCCTCCTTCTTTATTTCTAGGGCCTTCCGAGGTTCTCCAAAGGGTGGAGGGGACATCAGTTGCTCAGAAGCCTTGGCCCCACCCACCCCCGGACTCTCTGGAACTGCCAAGTTGTCTAGTGAGGGGCAACGGGGTTTGAGAAAAGGATCAGGTGTGGAAGGCTGGTGCCTTGGGGTGCCAGGTGGGGTGGATTGGAACTCTCCAGGCTGGCCAGCCCCAGGCCGAGGGGGAGCACTCAGCATCTGAGGCTTCGCGGGGGCCACTGCTGGTCCAGGATAGGGGGGATAGGCTGGTGGTGCTGTGGGGAAGCGAGACTCCAGAGTATAGGTGGGGGCCAGTCCAAAAGGGTCCTGCAAAGGCACTTGGGCGGGCACCTGGGGTGGGAGCTTGAGGAAGAGATCACCAGGCGAGTCAGGGCCGGGCACCGTGCCCGTTGGTGGCTTCAGGAACCCGTCCGAGGAGGTAGACAAGCCAGCTGGGGTAGGGGGACTGCCAATGAAGACAGTCGGAGCAGAAGCTGGAGGGGGACTGCCCAGCATCCCTGGCTGAGGGGGAATGCGTAGGTGCAGGGTGGGCCGATCGGTTTTGCGGGCTATGTCGCCCACCTTGGTCTGCTTACTGATCTGGCTCTCCGCCTGCTGTAGGGGTATAAGAAGAGAGGATGGGTGAGACTGGGGGATGGAGGTGGTGGAATGGACCTGGGAGTCATGGGCTACAAGGGCCCTGGGTGTCCACTTGCTCCAGGAATGCCACTGTCCAGTTAAGGATGTATGCTGCCACAGAAAACACCCTCCCTACTCCAAATTCTAAGGCTCCCATCAGGCCCCAGGCTTCTCCCCCAATTCCCCAAGTTCCAGACTCTCACTCACCTTCTGCACCTTGTTGATGCGGTGAGCCGCCCGGTTATCTTTGGCCTTTTGCTGAGGGATAATCAGGTCCAGAGCTTAGTCATGTGCTCTGTTCCTCAAGCCCACCCTGACCTGGAAACCTATTCCCTGGGTGAATGGAGTGGAGGTGGGGGGGGAGAGACCACCAGCTCCAAGTAAACTCCCTTCTTTCCCCAAGGCCCTGGATTCCCTCCTCCAGGTGGAGCTCCTCTGGGGCCCTGGATCCCCTCCTCCAGGTGGAGCTCCCCTGGGGCCCTGGATCCCCTCCTCCAGGTGGAGCTCCCCTGGGGCCCTGGATCCCCTCTTCCAGGTGGAACTCCCCTGGGGCCCTGGCCTCCCTTCCTTTTCTCATCCTCACCAGGTAGGGGGCTTTGTCAGTGGCCGGGACTTTTCTCCACAGCTTCATGATCTGTTTGCAGCGACTGGCCCAGTCTGCAGGCCAAAGGGTCAGAGGTCAAAGGGGACAGGACAGAAGTGACACTGCCCCATACCAGACCTCAGCTCCCCTTTCTACACTGGCACATACCTGGATAATCCTGCTTGAGGTTAGGAAAATTAATATTGGCGTAAAGCACAGGCGAGATTGTAGAAAGCTGGCCCAGCTCCTCATCCTTTTCCCAGCGCTGGAGGCTCCGCTGGTTGTAGGAGAGCCCATCGCCTTCACCCTCCGTGGTTGGGGTTGTGGGTGTGGAGGGTGTGGTGCCCCCTGAGCCCGTCCAGGGGCTGTCAGGCTCACCGGGCTCTGGGCTGAAGAAGCCCCCGCGCTCCCTGGGGCGCAGGGGCAGAAGGTCACAGCGGGCCAATGGTTCAAAGCCCATGTCCCTTCTCCCACCCCTATGACAAGTGATCATCCATGGAGGGAGACAAAGAGGGCAGGGACCCAGGACTCAACAGAAAGGAAGGTAGTAGCTAGGCCATAACTTGAAAAACCAAGTCTGTGTGTCTATACAAGTGGTGGGGAGGAAGGGAGAGAAAAGGGACCACAGGAATAACCACAACGTAGGGTATAGATACCTACCTACTATCAAGGAAAGGAGACTGGCAAAGGCCCGGATAGGAGTCCATTGGGCTGCTGGTAGGGAGGTTGCCCAAAGGAAGCCCACCTGTAGAAGGTAGATAGTGGTCACAGGCATGGCCGGTACAAAGAAGAATATACTGGTTTTCTCCACCCACAACCTGTGGGTTCCCCCAACCTGTAGCCCCACCCCTGATTCTCAACTGGTTCCTGACTATACCACCTTGTAGGAAGGGCCTCTGCTGCATTGGGGTGTGACCCCCATCCAGGTTGGGAGTCCCACAGCCAATCTGCTGCTCCCGCTCGGAGCCTAGGACATCCTTGAAAAGCTGTTGAAGATCTTTTGATTCCATCTTGGGCAGCTCTGTGTGGGAAAGGGAAGAGGATGGGTAAGCATGGCTAAGGAATGGAACGAGGGAGTAACAAGACCCACTGAAGTCTGGTTGGGAAGAAGAACCAGGGAAAACGGAACCACCTGCCTGCTAGCCTGGCATGACAGCCAAACAAGAAAAGCAAGGCCATAGATAATAACCACAACTGGTATTTGTTTAACCCAGACTATTTATCCCAATCTGCCTTAGCCCCCTTCCCTTTGAAGGAATCTTCACTAACTGGATGCTCTATAAGGACAAATGCTCTCTCTCACCCTTCCCTTAACTCACTACACCTTACGTATATGGAGAACACGCATTCCTTTTAAAACATATCAGCTAGGAACCCAAAACAAACCCTTGAGGGAAGATTTTACTGGAGCACCAACCTTCTGTGGGGATCTTGTCCAAGTCAGAGCTGAGCATTCCCTCGCCTGGGGTTCCTGGTTTCTCTGGGTCACTGGGTACAGGAGATGTCTTGATGCCTCCATCTTCAGGGCCTATGGGAGCACAAACTACTGGCTTAGGGTTTGAGGGCTTCGGGACAACTTTGTAGTCTCTGACTCCCATCCATCCTATCTCCAACTTCTCAAGAGTAAATGAGGCTGATAGGTACAAAGCCATTCGTGCCTCCATGGAACCCTCTACCCTACTGATGCCCATCACAGCATCCCACAAGGCAGTGCTTGGATTCTGTTGTTCAACAAAACTAAGCTAAGTATATGCCCAAGGAGGTCAAAGACAGAGAGAAAGGTCCCAGATAGATGAAAAATATTTAGAGCAGCACTTTTTGCAGTGGAAAGGAAGTGGGTATCCACTGACTGAAAAGTGGCTAAACAAATAGTGGATATGAATGTCGTTTTTTTTTTTTAGCTGTAAGAAATGACAAATATGAAGAATTCAGAGAAACCCAGGAAAACTTCTTGTATGAACTGATACAGGTTGAAGTAAGCATAATCAGGAGGGTAATTTAATTTACATGATGACCACAATAACATAAAAGAAGACAGTGAAAGCTTCAGAACTGTGATCAATGCAATGACTAATTGTGACTTCAGAGGCCTGACAGTGAAGCAGATTAAGATATGTATCATCAAACATGGCCCATGAGGGCAGCTAGGTGGAGCAGTGGATAGAGCACCGGCCCTGGAGTTAGGAGGACCTGAGTTCAAATCTGGCCCCAGACATATGATACTTCCTAGCTATGTGATTCTGGGCAAGTCACTTAACCCCAACTACCTCACTAAAAACAAACAAACAAACAAAAAAACCACATGACCCATGTGTTGATTTGTTCTACTAAGTGGTGAGGGCTTGGGGCAGGGTAGCAGATATTGACAGTGATATTAAAGAAAAAAAAATCAATAAAACATTTAAAAAGGAAAAATAATTTGGTTGCTCACCCCAATGTTCCTTACCTGGAGTCTCTGAATTGCCCTCAGGGCCTCTGGACTCTTCATCTGCAACATCTGGTCCATCCTCCCCTATGAGAAGCAGCCACCATTCTCATCAGAAATACCCTCCTTCCTACTAGTGCCTATGCTGGACACCCAATGCCATGGTTAAATGCTCAAGTCCACTTCACTCTACCCTCCAATGTTTGCCCAACTGCTACAGCAACCAACACCCTCCTTTCGAGATCCACTGACCTTTCTGTGAAGCAGAAGCCTCTTTTCTATCAGGGCCTGGGTCCCCCTTGCCCCTGGGGGTGCCTGGCACAAAGCCCAGTCGTCCATCTCCAGCCACCAGCAATGCCTTTCGGCTAAGGTCCAACAGTGCTTTCCCAAAGAAGGCTTCCTACGTGGTAGGAAGAGAGAGAAGGAGGCAAAGGACAAAAAGTTATCATTCTCTGCTAGACCCTTCAGTCCCGTGCTCCCTTCTCGCCCTTTCTGTTTTAGTTCCTACCTGCAGGTAGGCAGGAAACATGTCCTCCAGCTTGCTCTTTTTTCGACCCCGACGCTTCTTCTTCTCATCACCTTCGGCTGGGCTCTGCTCCACTGCACCCTCTGCAGGTGGGTCAACTGTCACAACTAGAAGAGAAGGGTGGCAGCTAAAACCTTTCCCCTTCCCCTCTGTCCTGTCCAATTCACCACCCATTCTCTACCCCAAGAACCTCCTGCCCTTGAGCGCCACCCCACTCTAGCGTCCTAATCCAACTCACCCTCATCAGGCTGGCCCTCCCCACTCAGCACTTCCACCAACACGGCGGGCCCCTTCTTCAGACGAGCGTGAGACTTGCGTTGTCGAACCATGAAGCCCCCAATGCCTAGAAAGCAGTATGACCCGAATAAGGAGTGGCTAGGAGGGCTGGGCGGACTTCTTCAGTCCCCTCTTCCCTCACCTCCACGTCCACCCCCGCCCTGTAGACGCCTACCAGGTCTGTACGGTTTGCGCTTGCGTTTCTTGCCCTCATCAGTCTCTTCCTTGCCAGGCTCCCCATCAGGGCTGGCAGGAGCCTCCAGCTTGATCTCACACTCCATGTGCTCCACACCGACCCCTGCCAGCAAGAGTAAGGGAGAAAGGTCAGGTATGTGGGTGGGAGGGCACAATACTCCCCCAAAGCTCACCTCCCTCAAACCCAGTCCTAGAGCAGAGCCAGGAGTCTTCCCAGAGACACCCAGACAAGGCGAGTGGCTCCGGTGTGATCCTGGGACAGATTGACATTCAACCACTCCACTTCTAGCCCAAACTCTGACCCTCAGCCAAACCTTCGCCCTTGAGCAACTCGTCAGCATCCAGGTCCCCATCTTTCTTGTCGTCGGGGCCGCCGGGGTCCGAGGGCTCCGGCCCCTCTAGCCCGCCCTCACCTAGGAGGCCAAGCCGCCCACGCCTCTGACGCCGCTTGTGAAGGGGGGACATGGACAGATTTCGAAGCACAGCCATGCCGGTCTCCGTCAGCCATACTCCCTCAAAGCGGAAGTACTGGGGCTCTGTGAGGGAGAGGAGGGAGAAGGTGACTCCGGAGTAAAGGGGCTAGGAGAGTCACAGCTGCCAGGCAGGCCAACAGCCGCTAACCCAGTTCAAGGGCAGAGCCACAAACAGATGGAAGAATGGGTAGAGGAAGAAACAGACTAAACTGAAGCCCCTGGGACTTGGACATTCTCTGGAAAAATGGGTCCCCGGGCATACTTTCGTCTGTTCCCAAGCACCAACAGGGACCTGACTCTTTATGATTAAATCAAGGGAAAATTCAAAAAAGAATTTCTCTGGCACTGGAGCAAACTTTTGATTTCATTACCATTAACCCTGGGTACATTGACCTTGCTCTCCAGGACCCAGGGGTTTGACGTGACCAGTGAAGTTCCCCATTTACTGAATGCCAAGATTAAATACCCCAGATGACAAACAACAGCACCCTTATTCTAAGCTGCCTACCTGAACCGTGTTCTCTGGTGAGATTATCAACAGGGATAGTAAAACGGCAAAAAGCATTAAAGGAGCAATCAGGACATTAGGCCTTTGGTCCCAGCTCCACCACTAACTAACTGAGTGATCTGGGACAAGTATCTTCCTCTCTCTGGGCCTTGGTTTCCTCATCTGTGAAATGAGGAAGTTGGCCCAGATTATCTCTAAGGTCCCTTCCAGATCTAACATTCTATGATTCCCAACTTACCTGGCTCCTTCACCTTCACAGGCACGAGCTCTGGTGGCGCAATGGGCACTGAATGGGGAGGAGCAGAGGCAGAATGAGAGGCCTGTTCTCCAAGTTCTCCAAGCCCCTTTCCCCACAGCTCCTGCTACTAACTCACCCACAGGCTTCACCACGTAGGGCTGACAGGAGACGCAATCAAAGCCTTCATCTGCTGCTTGTTCCACCTCTTCCTCAGTGAATAGGCTCTCACAACCAGCATGCATCCACCTGGCATTGGGGGAGGAGAGAGGGGCAGAGGCATGAAGCAAGCCTGAGAGGTGGGACTGAGGGAGCAGGGGAGGAAGGGCAGGAAGAGGGCCTCTCACCGGTCACAATGGCGGCACTGGATTAACAAATCTTCTTCTACATAAGGAGCACGACACGCCGGACAGGTCACCAGGCTGGCACAGGGCCCACAGTGGGTATAACTGTTCTGCCACTCACAGTGGAAGCCTGGTGAAACGGCCCCGCACTGCATGCAACTCACACACCTGGCAGAGGAAATGGATGCTCAGCACCAGCTTGTCAAATCTTGGCATCCCTCTGCCAAACCCTGGACACCAACTCAGCCTTCATTCGGTTATCCCAACCCTCAACAGCATACCATAACCATCTAAGGGCCTACCTCCCTCGGTCATGCCAATGCCCTCCCCAACAGGCCCTGGATTTCCACCCACCCCCTCCAACTTCTCCCAAAACACAGGTCCCTCTCTCAATTACCATTTGCACTTCCAGCCACCCTTGGGCACTGTGAGCAGTGGGGGATCCAGACAGTAGGTGTGGTAGCTGATATCACAATCATCGCAGAGCAAAAGGCGAGAGGGGTCAGACGCCTGGCCACACACTTCACATACGATGCATTCCACACACCTCCAGCCCTTCAGCAGCATCACCTTGGTAATCTAGAGGATGGAAAATGACCTTTTCAGGAAGGAGCATGGAAGAACACTACCTCATGGAGACCGAAACCAGACCCATCACAACAAGCCCTAGCCCACCAGACCAGCATTCACAGCCTATGAATGAAGGTCTCTTCACATACTGGCGGATCATCTTTAGCGGGTCATGCTTAAACCCTCAATGGTGAATCTCCATGGAAGGGTACAGCTGATTTAAAGACCTCTAAGACAATATCCCACCACCAACAACCTCATCTAAGACAAGCAGGAACTTAAGAAATGCTTGAATGACTGTCTGCAAAACTTTAGTTAAGATCAAACATTCTCATGCTTCTTAAAAACCTATAAACTTGGGGCCGATAGGTGGCGCAGTGCATAGAGCACCGGCCCTGGAGTCAGAAGGATCCGAGTTCAAATCTGGCTTCAGACACTTGACACTAGCTGTGTGACCCTAGGCCAAGTCAGTTAACTCCAATTGCCTCACCAAAAAACAAAACAAAATAAAACAACCTATAAAGTTAAAACCACCTAACACCTCCTCCCCAAGTCCTGTTCTTTCCGTCTTCACTTCCCTCTTTCTCCCTATCTTTCAGAAGTCCCTACCCTGTGAAGCCAACAAGATTGGGGTAGAAGCTGTGAACTTCTCCATTGAAGAGAATTTCACTATTTAACTAGCGTGAACTACAGTCTAAACGACTCAACCCAACATTACCCCTGGGTGAGACAAGTTAGGTGAGCCTCCATCCCCCAATTTTTGTCCCTCTGTCCTCTCTGCTCTGGGCCTGGACTCACCTTGCTGTTGACACAGTAAGGATGGTAGCACTGTGAACACTGAGAGCAGGCCAGGAGGTGGCCCTCTGCCCCTCGACCAAAGCTACCACACACTACACACATGTCCTGGAAGAAGACACACAGACAGACAGATGAGTGGCACCTCTAGCTACACGCCAGTTTTTTTCATCCCATTCCGTATCATTCTCCTATCCTGTTCCTCCTGAGACACCAAGCCGAGAAGCAGTGGCGTATCAATGATGACCTTGGGCAAATTGCTTTACCACTGCACCTCACTGGGATCCAAGGAATTTCAGAGATCATCGAGGTCAGAGGTTCTAGGACGTACGAACTTGGTTTTTTAACACTGGGATGGCTGTATTTCCATATAACTGGTTTCCTTTGTAATCCTATATTATCTGGTTTTACACATTTAAAAACATGATTCTGAGAAAGGGTTTCTGACCCACCAAAACAGTAATAACCTCTCCTCCTCTGGTGTTCCCTTCATTTCAGAAGAAACTGAAGCCCAGAAAAAGGAAGTGCCAAAGGTCACCCAGAAGCAGAGCAAGGATCCAAAATTCAGTTTCCTCAACTACAAAATGAGGGCATCAGACTAACCTTACCTACCTTGGGGCCTTTTTCCCAGTTATCATTTAGGGAGATTTGTGGGAATCTCTTCTAATTTTTAGAAACCATTTTTCGTTACAGACTCTCCTCTACTTTTCTTCTACCATCAACTCAATCTTCTTCCCCTATACCCCTGCTAATCCCTAATTCTCCTTTCCTTCTTACTACCCAATGGCCTCCCTTCTCCCCAGCTCACCTTCTCCATTTGTTTAAGTGACTGGAATATTTAGAACCTGCTATCAGACAGCAGGGATCTCATACAGAAGATCATGTTGGGAAACTGGAATGTACTCCAAAATGGTCACTTCCTCATCACCATTCAGGCTCAAACGTAACGACTGAGGCTGTGACTGCCTACCTTTTCTATTTCCCCCTGGCCTGCTTCCCTGGGGCAGGCCCTGGGTCTCCCTTAATGCCCTTCCCCCTGACCCCCAAATGTTTCTATAGTACCATGTACCACTGCAGACAATGGGACCATACAAAGTACAGTACCTGCATTAGGACAAATTTGTCGGTGTTGGAGAAGAGAACCACAGTATTCTGCATGGTGTCATCGTCTTCCTCCTCCTCCTCCTTGCTGGGAGAGCTATCAATGTCTGCAACCTGAGAGGCCAAGGGAGGAAAGGAGGGTGAGCCACACTAACCCCATCCCAACCAATCTTTCTCCTCCCTGGGGCAATGGGGAGTGAAGTTTGGGCCACTGCAGAAGGGACAGGTCAGAAGCTGGGACCAAGAGGGCTCTATCTCTCCACCCTGAACAACAGAGAATTTTGCCAGCGGGATTGGCTCCCTTAAAAGCCAAGTGGCCTAAGGGAAAGGGAGGGTGGAATGATGGAAGGCAGGTAGCTTGTTGCCTCTAAATCTGAGAAAAGGAAATGGCTGTGTGGAAGGTGTGGAATCTAGGGATGAGTATAATCAGGGTGGCGGCCAGAAAGAGACCGCTCCTTACTACCAGAGTCTCCACAGAGGAAGTGGTTGACTTCAGCCGGGCACGTCCTCTCCCCCTTCCTCCATGGGCACCCCCCCGAGGTCGACGTCTTCCTGGGAAGCTACTGCTACGGCCCTGGGCAAGAGAAGGAATGGGCAACATGGGTGGTTCAGAGAGTTCAGGGGCTTGTGCCCTGGACCCAAGGGGTTGGCAGGGAAAGGTCATTAGAGCACTGCTATGAATGTGAGGAGAGAGGACAACAGGGACAGCTAGGGGCCTGGTGGCCTGACCAGGGGAAAGAGTAGAATCAATTCCAAAACTGTGAAGGAAAGGGTAGCGCCAAGCTTCCCTCTAACTTTTCTCGGGTTTGGTATCTCCTGACAGGCTAACTCCACCCAAGAACAGCACTAAATTGTAGCCATGAACCTCCAGGAGGGAAGGTAGCTGCTCTGTTCCCACTTCTCTCACCTGTTTGATACGGGAGCGGGCAGGGGAGCTTCGTCGTCTCCCCTTGTCGCCCTCAGCCTTGCCGCCAGCTCCAGTTGCTCCAGAATCACAAAGTAAGGAGTCATCAGTCTCGGGCAGTGAGTCGGTACAGAGCCGAAGGGAGCCCTCATCCCGTGCAGGGCTGACGTCAGTGGACACACCTAGCTCCATGGAGAGCGAGCCACCCCCCTCAGGGTCTGGGGAGCCCAGCAGAGGCTCAGAACCTGGGAAGCTGGCACTGGCATCACCTTGGCTCAGGTTAGAGATCTCATTGACGATGTCGGACTTGATGAGGGCGGGAGGGGTATGCACTGGTGGGGCAACTGGCTCCTCAGGCTCTTCACAAGGTGAGCTCTGCCCAGCCTGCTTGCCATCAGAACCATAGACCTCCATAGGGGTCACAGGGGCCAGCTCCTCAGGGTCAAGGAGCAAAGGGGAGCCTTTAGGATCACTACCTGAACTGCCAGAAGTCTGTCCAGTCTCTGGCTCTGGACCAGTAGCCTCCGTCTCATCGAGACAGACTGTGTCCTCACCCAGGCTGGAAAAGACATCCAGGGCTGGAGCAGGGCTGGGGGCAGGACAGGAGAGGTCTCCTGTAGGACAGGCTGGGGGGCTGATCCCACTAGGCTCCAGAGCTGGGCACTCTGGCTCTGTCTCCATCTCCTGTGACTCAGACTCATCTAGGACTTCTGGTGCCTTCTCCAGGAAGCCCAGGGGAGAAGGGGCTAATGGCAGAGGGGAGCACTGGGGAGGAGGGGGCTCTAGAGGAATGGGAGAATTCAGTTCTCCCAGTTCTTCAGGGGAGGCTGGAGAAGGGGTCAAGTCTATAGGAGCTATGGGCTCTGGTTCAAAGCAGCTGGCTTCTGGAGGGGGGCTGATGGGCGTGTCTAGGATAGGGACCTCTGGAGGAGTCCCTGGCTCACTGTCCCCTTTGGCATCAGGGAGCTCCTCTTGCTCCCCCAAGGGAGACAAGGATGGTGGGGCTACAGCAGTGGCAGGAGAAAGTGGAGGAGGGGGAGGATCTGGAGAGGAAAAAAATAAAGCAAGACTTTAGAGATGCAGGATCCCTAGGGACAAGAATGATAAATGTTCAAACTATGTTTTAAAGTTTGTAAACCATTTTCTTGACAAAGTAGCTAGAAAACTATTACTGGCCTCATCTCAACAGATGATGAAACTCAGGTAAAGAGAAATCCAGCGGTGTGCCCAAGGTCACAGAGTTAATGACTGTCAAGAGGCAGAATTTAAAGCCAGGTTTTCTGACTCTCCATCCTGCACTCACTTCACTGTAACCATCATGTCTCTAGGGGACAGATTGTATCCAGGAAAAAAGATGCTTCCCCATTTCCTTACCTGTTGGTGGTAGCTGAGGTGACAAGAGTGGTTCCTCAGGTAGGAACAGGGGCTCCAGTGGCATCTCCTCATCAAGGGGGGCAACCTCAGGTGGTGATGGGACCTCAGGTGGGGATTCAACTTGGGTCCCTGCTTGCCCTGCAGACATAAGAGGTCAAATTCCTACCTAGCCATGGCTCCACAGGAAGTATAAGACAGGAGCAACTCCTACCCCAATATAACTGCTGTCCCAAAAGTCTTAGTGCAGCTGCCAACTATTAACACTTTAATAGCTGACAACTACCCTAATAAAGCTTTAATTATCAAACTGTCGATTTGGTGGACCTCACTCACCTAGTGGTTTGGCTTCACGCTGCAGTAGCCCTGGTTCCTCAGACTTTGTGGAGGCTTCCTCTTCCCCCTCCAGTTGTTCCTGGCATGCATTATCAAGATCATCAGGTGTACCAATGGGGGCAATGCCAGGCTCCGGCGATGGATATCTGCAAAAGGAATGGAGAAGCAGGCACTATAACCCTCTGTAGGGCCCCTTCCCTTGCTCAGCTGCCAACTCTATGTGGGCATCAAGGTATCGTGTGAGCATGTTACATGGCTGTAAGTGGCACTGTCTACCCCAGGGCACCATGAATATGCTTCCCATTCATCTGGGGAGGCTCTTGGCAATGGTAGCATTCCCCATCCCCCACTCGCCAAAGGCCCTCTCTCCCACTTACTTGTTACAGACAGGGGGGTTCTGCTCGGTATCAGGGCTGCCCATCCTCCCGCCCTGGGTGTTCTGCTGCCCCTGGCACCGCTCACACAGTGAGTAATTCTCATACCACTGGCAGTTGGGATCCAGCTCTGCTGGGCACGCCCCACAGGCTCGGCACACCCGGCACGTCTGTAGGGAGACAGAGAATATCTCGGGCATCGAGTCAGGTAGCAGAGGTGAGAGAGGGTGCCCAAGCAAAGGAAACCCTGTCCAGGTCAGAGGCCAAGAAGAAAAGCCTCAGGGACACTCACCTTGCACTTCCAAGAATCAGGGGGTAGGCTCTGAATGGCTGGCTTCAGGCAGAAGGTGTGGTAGCCCTTGTCACATGCCTCACAGACTAGCATCATGGAATCCTCCCCGGGCTGCCTGCAGGGTAGAAGGCACAATACAGGATCTTCCCCAGTTCCCTTCCCAGCTTTACCCGCCCTCCTCCCCATTTCCCAGCCTCTTCCAAACCCATACCCACCTGCAGGTTTGGCACACTTTGCAATCTGGGCACTGCCAACCAGCACGTTTTCGTGCAGTCAGAGCAGTGTCCAGACAGGCCCCGTGATAGTGTTGCCCACAGCTGGTACAGAAGAGTAGATCTCGAAGCTCACCCAGCCCATCACACACCACACAACGGGCATCCTCTAGTGGGGAGGAAAAATAAAAGTCATAGCATTCGGGGCAGCTAGGCGGCACAGTGGACAGAGTACCGGCCCTGGAGTCAGGAGGACCTGAGTTCCAATCCGGCCTCAGACACATAACACTCACTAGCTGTGTAACCCTGGGCAAGTCACTTAACCCCAACTGCCCTCACCAAAAGAAAAAAAAAAAAGTCAGAGCATTCAAGTAACCAGAAGCAGCTGGGTCTCAAACGTTTCCCCTTCCCAGGTGCTCACCCAGATGTGCGGCCTCCTCGCCATGCTCCAGACACAACAGCTGCAGAGTCTTCATAGACTGGAAGGAGCCACTGGCAGCAGCACAGGGGAAGTGGTAGAGCTGTGGGCATCCGGGCGATCGGCAGGGGATGGAAGCTCCCAGCCTGGAGCAATGGGAACAGCGCTGCCGAGGCAGAGACTTGGCCTCAGAGGTGGATGGGCCAGACCCGTAACTCCCCTCGGAGCTAGGACCCAGCTCCACATTTAACCACTTCCCACCGACCTCACCGAGCGTGCCGGCTCTCCTGAGCATGCGGATTAGAGACAAGGACGTCGAATCGCTCCCACCCTCTCCTGTCTTTTCCCCCTTGCCCTACCTGAGAGATCCCTGAGAAGACGGCCTTGTCCACTCCGTGCAACTCCAGCCCATCTCGGCCCTGTACTCCCACTGACCATGCTGCACACCAATGGTGAGCCCAGCAGGGTCCTATACAGGATAGTAGAGGAGAAAAGGGAAAACGATTAGCAGCGAGAATTCATCTCTCTCCAAATTATTTCCTGATTCCCCTTTTCCTCCCCAAATTCCTCCTTTTCCATCACCGCCCCCCCTCCAACTTTCTCCCATTCTTACCACCAGGCTTTCCCAGATGGGCAGGTGTCAAGCCCTCAGGGAAGCCAATCTGGGACAGATCATCACTGGGTGGCGCTGTCTCTCCAGGTCCAGGCCCGCCAGATGGCACTGCTGGACCCAGGGGCCAGTCTGGTGGAAGTTCAAAGCACCGCAGCTCCCGCTGCCCATGGAGACTCCATTCCCCACAGTTACAGAAGGCACAGCGCCGAAATGGGCCCTTGCTGCAGACACACAATCGTTAACACCCACCCCAGGCACGCCTATCAACCCTGGGTGGTAACACTCCCACCCCTCTTAAAATACTCCTATCTTTTAGCCCCTTCCCAAATTCTTCTGAAACCCATGGACTCCAAATCCCTGCTACAAACTTTAAAAAAAGCCCCAAAAAACCTAAATCAGAGCCCCTTACTCTCTCTAAGTCTCTATCCCTTATTTCCCATAGGCCAATTACCTGCAGTCCTGGGGAGGGTCCTGGGGCTTGGGGCTCCCTGGGCTGTGGACAGAGGCATCCCCCAAAGGTGGGTTGGGGGGGTCTGGCTCAGTGGGGCCTGACTCTTCAGAAGCTTCAGGCCCATCAGCTAGAAGGACAGAGGATGGATATTAGGCACTGTATAACATTCTGCCCAAAGCAGGTTGCTCCCCTGTCCCCACAAAATCATGGATAGAATCTCTAGTCTATCCTTACATCAAGAAAGTCTTTTGTACTGAAAAGAGAAAAACCTAGGAAGGATGGCCAGAGCCTAGAAATAAGAAGTAACATGATGCTACCCTAAGGTCTACTACTGCCCCAAAGGATATATATAGGCCTTAAGTCTATGAGGTAGCTACTGCTCCCTATCACCAGGTACACTCTCTGTCCCTGTGCCAGGAATAAGTTTTCAAGACACCACCCACCTACTTTAAACTTCCTATGCTCACCTGCCGTCTCTGAATCTTTATCTTCACCAGAGGGCTTTGGGTCGTCCATTCCTCTCTCCGACTGGGCAGTGCCCTCCCGGGGACACCTGGCAGCACAAATATAAAAGCCCAAGATGCCACCTTTGACACACTAGCACTCCTTTCATAGTATTACAGACGGAGGGACGGTTGTGTACCTAGACACTGCGAGTACTGAACCAGGCCCTGGAGTTCTGATCCCTTCTGCTAAAACAGGCCTCCATTCCCTTCATCCCTAGAGACCTGCCCACAAAAGGGTACTTGGGTCAGAAGGACTCCAATCAGAAGTACATCAAACACCAAATGTGCTTCCCCTCCCATCCCCGTCTTTCGGCAAAGCTTCGTGTACCCTGCTCAACACCCTCAAACAGAACCAGCTTGAACCCATATAGAAGTTTCATTTCGGCCACCATCCGAAAGCTCAGCAGTGCCAGGCTCCAACCTCCTCCCTCCCTGACCCACGCTGTCTCCCCCACACACAGCCTCTCAGAAGGGAAAGCTCCATTGGAAGAGGTCAAGCACCCATCCACCTCTTTTCTGGGGACACATAGCCCAAATTGGGCTTCACCAAGGCAGTGTTTGGGGTCTTCCCTGACAAAGAAGAGGAGATAGGAGAGATTCCTCAGTGCCATAGCCCAGCCAAGGACTGGCCCCACAACAGATCCCCAAGTTTAAACTGGGGCTTCATTCTGAAGGGAGTTTCTCTCCCCCACCCCTCATTGGCCCCCTGACAGAGAAGCTGGCCCTAATTCCTGTCCCCACCTCCCCTCCCATCCTAATGAACCAGCACAGTTCCCTCCCCCTTGCTCCACCAGGGGTCTCACCTAGCCTGGAGCCCCCAGGCTGTTGCCCCTAGCAACGACAACAGCCCTTCCTTTTTAGATGCCCCCAGAAGCAACAGAAAAGGGCCCTGAGAACTACTGAGCATGTGTAACCGGGCCTACCGCCAGGCATGCTGGGAGTTGTGGTCCTTGGAAACACATTGCCCCAACAGGAGTTCTAAAGCAGAGGACTGAGCAGTTTCCTTCCCCTTCAGCTAAGTGGGGTTTCTTACATACTCAGTGGGGAGAGGCAGGGGGTGGAGAAAGATGAATAAAGGTGGCACACACTTGAATGAAGGCCTGACTGTTTCAGGGCCTGCACTACCTTAAAACAGACATACACTGCTCCTCCAAATGGGAGAAAGAAATCAGGAGAGGGATCTGTCCTATTCTTCCATACACCAAGCACTTTGTCCACTAGAAAGCACTGCATAGGAGCATAGGCAGTTGATATACTATAGGGTTTGTTCCTGGCCCTCAGATTGAGTCTATCCTATATGTAGGATGGGGGGAGGGGGCGGAAAGGAGGTCAGGGAAGGGGAAAAACATGGGAAGGAGCAGATGTTTGTAGTTCTTAGTGCTAAGATTTGGGGACTGTGTGAGTGAGTAGTCAGTCTATATAAAAATTTTGAAAATTGCTCCAAAAGGATGAAGGTCTCACTTTTACAGCAGAGCCAAACTTGCTCAGCCATGTCTCACCTTTCCCATACCTCTGAACAGAGGGAGGGGTTATATCAGCCTCAGGACAGCCCCCCCCCAATCCACAAATTAAAGGCAGATAATCCATCTGGACCTTTTCAAGTGATGCTGGAACAAAGGAAATAATAGGACTCCTCCAAAAGTTCTCAGGACCAGAGAATAACCCAAAGACCTCAGTACCTTCCCTAGGCTCATATGCCTCCAGAATCATGAGACCTGAGTCTCACTCCTGGGACACTTCTCAGGAAAAAAAAAAAATCCCTTCAATCTCTATCCTGCAAATGGTGCATCATTCCACATCCCACACCCCTTTCCAGAAAGCAGTTTTCAGGAGAGGACACCCAACTGACTCCCACTATCTTCAACCACAGAGCATCTCTCTTCTCCTTCTCAATTCACCTATATCTGTGACTGAAAAGGACAAGACAGAACAGCCACTTAATCATCCTATCTACCTGTCAGTTCCACGGAAAACGTTCGAAGGATACCTTTGGGAAGAGGAGTTATAGAAACTAAGATTGTTCCAGAAGAATTAGAGCATCTCCTGCCCCTTGTTCCCATTTGATCAACCAAACCCTAATCATATCTAGGAAGTTTGAGAAACTCTCAAAATTTCCTAAACAGAGGCAACAACATTCTACTACCTCCTGTTCTCCCAACCAGGGACTCTCTACTCCATTGACTTTTCACCAGAGTTGAGGCCAAAAGAATCTTAAAAGCAAGGAGGGGAGGGAAGGAGACCAAAAACAGTGATAATGCTGTGGGGTGGGAGGAGAACCATCTCGTACAAGGCCAGAGGGACAAATTCCTCTGTCCTCCCCCGAGTACAGCCCTCTCACGCTGAATAGCCTGGCACTATTAGGGAAGAAATGGCCACCCACCCCACTGAGACAGGGTAAGTGACATCAGCAATTCCCCAAGCTATATCCTTAAAAACCTGAGTCCTCTAAAAAGCTTCAGAACCTTTAGCCCCTACCTCCCCAACTCTATTTTGCAGATAAGACAGGCACTTCTAGTGCCTGACCTAGGCTAGCACCAAACATCTTCCCTACACATCTCTCCTCTCTTGTTCAAGTCCAAGCATATATTCATGGGCAGCAGTCATAGCTCTCAAGTTTCCAAAACCCATTCCTTAAAACCTCCCTAATTCTAAATACTGAAGACTGGGTTTTTCACCCCAACATTCTCTTTTGCCTGTCAGCAATCAAGACTCATTTCCAGTTCAATCCTTTCCCACAAGAGAAAGATCTCCCAGATTACTATAAAAATATTATCTGGCAGGACTTAGGCAAAGGAGAGTAAGGAGAAGACCTAGGAGGACCCCAGAAAGTGAGGAGAGAGAGACTGAGTGGTTTTGCTTACTTTCCCAAACAAAATGCCCTAAGGAAGAAAGGAAAAGAGACTAGTTTTATTTCAGCTCTATTCCCCCTCCCCACCCCTACCTTTACCCCCCCCCACACCCATGCCAACTGTTCAAGTCTCCTTTTCCCAGAAAATCAGGAAACAGGGGCCTAGGGAGGTGAAGGGCCTAACCAAGCCTTTGAGTGAACAGCTAGTTCTGCTGAAGAACTCAGGACTTCCTTGTTCCCAGCCTAAAGATCAGACCACACCTCTCTTCACCCTTATTTTGGGGAAAGCCCCCCCCCCAGAAAGGACCCTAAAGATAGAAAGCTGTCCCTATGGATTCCCAGGGCTGTCCCTGGCCTACTCTGGGGTCAGCCACACCTAACTAGAGTAATACTGGGGGGTGGGGGAAAGAGTGAGGGTTTAGAGACTAGGAGACTCTATCAATGAATAGGGTTGGAGCCTCCAAAGAAGAGATGGAAACAAGAAGCACTGATACCACCTCATTTTACACCCCTACCAATGCCATCTCTCACTACAGGGTTAACACCAAGAAATATTTCAAGGACAGAGCCCATACTTCCCTAGTTTCTAGGCTGGGCCCAGGGAAACCTGGGGTGGGGGAGGGGTGGGTGGGAAGCGGAGACTCAAGTCAAATCCCTTCTGGACAGCGTGACAGGTGGGGAGATTGAAAAGAAAGGCACCTGTCCCAGTACAAAGCCAGGAGAAGTGAGTATAATACTATATCCTGAACAAATGCCCAGCACCCTGGTCATAGGCCCTCTAGCAGAGTCAGCATTGATCTGGCCACTTCCCCTCTGAGGAAGGCAAGGCCACCCTATTTGCCCAGCCGGGGCAAATCAGAGGACCAGGTTAAGCCCCACTTGGGAAAGGGTTAGAGAGGTGTGGGAGGGGCCAAAAAGGGCAGGCGGGAATAGCCAGGGGCTCATGGGCAGCAGACCCTCCAGGCCAGACACGGAGAAAGCCACAAACAAAAGCCATTTTTTCCGGCCCACATTCGCAGGAAACAAATCTCTCCAGCCTCCTCTATAATCCTCTGGAGATTATGTCCATCCCCAAGAGAGAGAAGGCAACAGGACTGCGACAGCATTAGGCCTCAGGGTGGTCACTTTGCTTTACTGGATAGGGGGTAAATTTTTTTTTTTTTTGGTTATGCATCAGGGCCATCTCTTGCTTCCTTCTAGACTTTGCCACCCCTCCATCATACAAGTCCGGCTACAGGAACTCCTCCTATTGCACGCACAAGAAGGGGGAATGGAGGTGAAGGCGGGAGGGGTCCCCTAGTCTATGGCGCCTGTTAAAAGTGTGTGTGTGGGGCTTAAGGTCAAACCCAGCGGTGGAGTTCTCCCTAGTCCCCACCTCCCCAAGACACGAGAAGTCTAAACAAGGCGGGAGAGGAAGCAGCCCCAGGGGCGTGTGCAGACTGCTGGAACAACTCTAGCCAGTCCCCATAGCCGATCATCCTCCCAGCACACACAAATAAAAACACACCTGGGCTGCGGGAAGACTTGAGCCATCTTTCCCGGTTCTCAGGCACACGCCAACAGACCAGGCCGCAAGGCAAGCCTCACTCCAGGTTCTGGTCCCCGGACGGACACTGCCAGGAAAGCCCTCCCCTGAGCTCTGACACCCTCGTCCCCCGACTAGAAGCTGGTCCCTGATAGGGGACGTGATCTGGCTGCACCCATAAGCGGGCCCGGGCAGCGCGGACTTCACTCACCTCTTCACAGGGCGATCCAGAAATCTTCACCCGAGAACATGGCCACAGCTCCGGCCGCTCCCCGACCTCCACCCGCCAGGACGATCACAACCGCCCCCCACACGGGGGGGGCCAAAGAGGGGCCAAGAACGGTAAATCCAGGTCGGAGCGGCCCCCCCACTTCAAAAAAAAAATTTAAAGTGGCTGAAAACACCAAGGCGGGGAGTTGGTTCTCTGCCCTCGGTCCCAGCAGCTTAGGTTTCCCAAGCAAAGCCCCGGGGCGGCGAATCCAGAGCCCACACAAAGGGAGCACCAGTGGCTTTGATCTTCGGACGAACAGTCTTCACATCCGACGAGCCGGTCCGCCTCCCAGCCCCGGGCCCACCGGGCGCCCCCCACCCCCACCCCCGATGCCCAGCGCCCGGTTCCCAGTGGAAGGCTGAAATGCTCCCAATGGAACGCTGTGGGATCCCCCTCGCCAGCCCGGATGGAACGCGGAGCCTCTTCCCCAGCTGGCCTGGATGGAACGTTGAGACTTCGGATGGAACGTTGAGGCTCTCCTCGCCTCGGGCCCCCTGAGGCCGTGCTAGCTTAGCTACATTGAAGCGAAGCCGGCAGGGCCTCAGGAGTGAAACTGACACACACGGTCGGGCCCCGCTGCCTCCGCCCAAACCTCTCTCTCCTTCCGCCGCTTCGGGACCCGCACCTTCGGCTCCTCCCGGGGAAGGGAGGGTTGGGTGAGGAAGGAGCGGGCGGTCGGAACCCTCTGCCCGCTCCTCTCCGGCCGCTGCGGGCCCAGCTCTCGCCTCCCTTCCCCTCTTGCTCCGAGGGCTGCCCCGACTCCGATCTGGCCAGATCAGACTGGCTTGCACTCCACTATCGTGTGCAGGGTAAGACCACCGGGGATCTAAAGGTCCATGGCCCAGCCCCGGCTCCCGGCGCCGGGGGTCAGGAAACTGAGCGGAAAGTGGGGACCAAGGCAGCCATTTGCAACCGGAGAGGAAAGTAGTGCAGCGGAGACACAGCTCCGCCTCCCCCCTCCGCCTCCTGCGCGGCCGGGAGGGTGGATCCTACGAACCGGGCTGCTCCCTGGCCCGAGATGTCGACGACGGGCGTAGAGATTCAGGTAGCCTCCTGCGGAAGAATCGTGTGGGGCTTGGTGCCAAAGGACCCAGCTCGAAAAGGGGAGAAAGGAGAGGACGAGGCCCTATTTTGTGTTGGACCTGAGCAGCGGAGGGACACAGTTCTTTCGGGTAAAGGCTGTGACTCTGCAGTTCTGCGCACACGCTGAAGAATCCCTCCGCTTGAGGTTAACCCCGACGGCGCCGGTCAGACCGATGCGCAGACACGTGGGAATGAAGTTCCCCTAAGCTCTTGTCTTCCCCCCCCCCATTTTCCAGAACGGCCTAAGCTCCGAGTGGAGCCCGGAACCCTGAAGTCCCTCTTTGCTCTGCCTTTTCTCTCAGTGCATTCTCCTCGGGATCACCAGGACCTGAAACTCTAGCTCCCCCCACCCCCACCCGGTCCTGGGGCATTCTTGCTTAAGGAGGGGGATGGAAGAAGAGAAGAGGAGACTGGGGATTGGCTACTGCTCTGCATCCTGGGAACTGGAGTCCCCAAACGGAGAAAGTGAGGAACAGGCTCTTGGCTCTCACAGGAAGGGTTTTCTCTACGTTCTGGACACAGTCGAAGACCAGAGCAAAAGCCCCAGCTTCTTCTAGGAGAAAAATGAGTCTGGGGAGGAGTGGGGAGAACTGTATGCCCCCTCATTTCCTCCCGATAGAAAGCCATCGAAGGCAAGAGGGACTACCTCGCAGGCTTGCTCCTGTTTCCTGGCCCAAGTATAGTTATGCAGGACAATTGCGAGAAAATCCCCTTGAAACACAATCCTTGCAAACTTGGGTAAGAGAGAGGAAGAGGTTCTCATTTATTAGAGGAGCGGAGCTTCCTTGGGCCCATAATCCTAGTTCTGGACCTTTCCAAAGCCACAAATAGGAAGAGGGGAGGGTCCTTCTGGACCCTAAGTTCAAAGTTACCCGAGGGCTGGGTTTCACCCCCGTCTCCCAGCTTCCGTTTCTCTCCTCACCTCTTGAACCATTCCCACAAAGCAAAAGACGCCTTTTTCAGGAAAAGGCTTCCTCAGCAGCCCAAGTTACTCGTTTTAAACAGACATACTAATCCCGGAGAAGATGGAAGTAGAGGGAATGATACGATGGCTACAAAACCCAGGAAGAAAGACAACATTCAGGAAACAGCCTTCAAGTTCACGGAGGCTGCTCCATATTTACACAATTTTTAGGGATTTCTAATGTTTGCTATTCTTCCCAGAGGCAACACAAAAAACACAGAGGGCAAATATTCTACTCCAAGTAGGTCAGGTCCCAGCTAAAAGGGAGTTGGTTTTTAATTACCTTTTTACCTCAGTCCGTCCCAGGAGTGGGAGAGGTCTAGGCTACAGAGATTGCTATGACTTTGAGGTATAGTGCCATTTGGGGGTAGAATGGGGGTAGAATTTGCAGCTCAACAGCACTGCCCCCCTTTCCCCAAGCCTTGTTAGAAATCAACTCTCTGGACCCTATAGCCAAGACAACTTAAAAGTCAGATAGTGGAACTGTCCTTAACTAGGGAAGGTGGAAATTGAACAGAATCCTAGATTTCAACGAACCCTTCGAGTAGGAGCCTTTGACCCTTCGACAGGAGGCTGGACAGGCCTAAAAGACACTTTGACGTGTCAATTGCAAGTTTTCTGATTCTGCTTTTTATCCCCAATCAGGAAGCTCCAGATGGAAATAAAGGCCGTAGGAGAGTCCAGCCAAGTCAGGTAGCAGGGCTGTGAGCTTCTGGAGAAGGAACAATGCAGTCTTCCCAGCCTAACTCCCCAGTCCACCCAGGGCTGCTTCTGCCCTAGTTGAACAATGACATGTATACCTGACAACTGTAAGGTTTTTCTTAAAGGAGTATTAAGGATCCAGTGAGGCAGAGAAGGATAGGTGTATTCCCCACATTGGAACCACATAAGCCAACTTGGTATCTATCTATCTAAAAAATAGAGAGAAAATTAATTTCTTGGACTTACAACCCAGGGAGTCAGGATAGCAGCAGTTTGCATTTAAAGAATAGAATCTGTGGGGCCCAAAAGAAGATTTAAAGAGAGAAATGATTTGGTGGGGTAATGTCCAGGATGTCCAGGAGCTTCTCCAGTGGGGAAGAAAACCTGTCTAGCCACTACCTCCAATCTATCCCCACAATTTCCTTCCAGCTACCTTATCTCCACCTCAACCTCTAC